ATAAATATTGAAATCAGAGTTATGAAGATTTTCTAGCGTCAACATTGAAAAGAGTATGTGCCTTGAAGTACTCAAATACTTTCGACACCAAGCCAGCCTCGCTTAGATAATTGTTACGTAGATATATCTGACACGTGACTAAAAGTTGCAGATAGGATAATTGTGTTGCGTCTTTTGAATGATGAGTTTCTGCCTGCATAAAAGAAGACAAAATCTGCTTCAACGCCTGCCATTTGCGGGATGTATCCTACTACATTAGCCAAGATTCAATGTTTTCGAACATTATCGTCTATTAACGTTATTAATTTCTGCGCTGACGACAAGAGTGCGCATGCACGGATATGAGAGCGGTAGAAAGAAGGTTCAAGAGAAGAACAACTACTTCTTGGTTTATCGATTGCTCTAAATGGGTCATATAGAGGAACCTGCAACGTGTCGCTATGATCATACCGGGAATCATCTCTTTTAGTCAGCAAAGGCACAAGATGTAATAAAGGAAAATTGCTTTCTGACGAAAGTTAAAAAAATAAAATAAAATAAATTGTTGAATGCTTTTAGTTAAAATGTCACTATTTCCATGATAAATGTCCAGAAAACATTCCTTCATTACACGTGTTCAGATCATTACAGCTAGGACTCACTATGCCACATACTTTGTGTCGAATTATCATTATTTCTTTCATATTCCATTGGTAAGGATGATGTTCCATTCAAACAGCGTATCCTCAGAACAGTCGCTTTGTCAAAACTGGCCACCGAGAGAATACATATCTGATTAGTATCATCTTAACCTCTTCATATCAAGGGTCCCACTGTTATCTATATGTTGAAACCTAGTTTGAGGTTACTTAATAGAGTAATCAAACGAAGTGAACGATAATACTTAGGACAAGGACAACACATATATGATTCGCCAGCGGTGTGTAGAAGTAGTCAACTGCTAGAAGTGAGTCAAGTGAATTCCACAATGAATCTCCAAATGCAAGATATCCACCAATCCCCCCCCGCCCCACGCGGTCAGATGTGGCACAAGGCCGAATTTAATGTGGGGTACGCTCGGCCAAAAATTCTCCGTAGATCCCGTATAAAACGGGGACGGATAGCGGTTTCCCGAGACGAAACTTTGCCCTTCGACATAGCCTCGTCTGGGGTTCTTCTCTGCGCGTAAGCAGAGGGTTTAACCTGTACAGCTGGAGACGAATTTCTAACTGCAGGATACCTACCAATCGACACACGCTGTCAGCTATAGCACAAGGCCGAATTTAATGTCGGGTATCCGAACCCGTAGACTCGGCCTAAATTTCCTCATAGACCCCGTATAAAACGGAATCGGTTTGCTGTTTCCCGAGACGAGACTCTGCCTTTCGACATAGACTCGTCTGGGTAAACCCCATTATCCGGAGGCTGAGAGTGAGATCAGCATAGCTGGAGACTAATCTCCGACTGCAGACCAACATACAGTATTTACTACTGTATTTATATGGATGGGGAGATATCCATTATCGGCCGTAGAGTCTACAAGACTATCCTACATATACTAATGTTATGCTTTCTCTTCCCTCCATTTACGATATTTTTTAACTTCATTTAGTAGACCTCTATTTTGAGTGGTTCTTGGGACATGTGTTGGACGAACAGTAGTATGAATATTTTTTCTTTATGCAATGCTTGTTTTCTCTCAACGTCGAGTGTTGTCTATCCATAGCAATGATTTCTGCTGCTACCATATAACTCAATGCAATGTGTTACTTGAATAGCAAAGTGGCAAGGAGGTCACAGAATCAAGGGAAAGAGTGTCGAAGGATAAAATAACGAATGGATAAAATGTCGAACAGACAAAGTGTTGCATAAAATCTACATAAGGATAACTATCGGTCTACCATTATATACATCTTCTTTTAGTTGCAATGATCATGGCTCTCCACATCTTCCTATCCTTTTTGGCTCTTAACAATGCATGTCTTTTTCGCCGTAGGGAACTTCGCCCTTTAGGATTTTTGGCGTAAGACAATTTCGCCGCATTTTTTTTTCGATACTCTTATCTTGAACGTCCCTTTAGGAGTAATAATAAGAGTGACATAATATATATTGCGTGAGTGAGACTTATTGGTAGACTGATATTATGTTAACAGAAAATTTAACGCTAAGTCTGAAATATGAAATTGCGTGATGTAGATTCGGTGTCAAGTTTTTACGCTGCTCACAGACTGAGGATTAATGGTGTAGGATTTTGATCCTATAACTTATTAAAATGTTTAAATCGAAGTAACAATAGTGTGAGCCACATATACATGGTAAGAAGATATTAAAATTTAAAAAAAAAATACGGCGAAAATATCTTACGGCAAAAATCCTTGACTGCAAATTTTTCTACGGCGAAAAGACCTTACCGCCAATCTAGTACTGCGCTTAAATGAATAAATCTGGGTATCAAAGAGGAATGCTCATCAGAAGAATTGCCCTGGAAATATTTATAGGAAAAGAACTGAGAAGCTACGTTAGGGCGGTGGGGAAGTGACTGAAGCCGAGATGTCAGGTCAGAGCCAATAACATTGCAGATTCTTCTTTGTATTTTTCCTAGAATCTCTAAATACATAACAGCCACAAAATCAAACCAGATTTTGATCGGATATGTTCACTGTATAACGTCCGACTGGTAATGTTCCAAATTAAGAAGATCTGCATTCGGAGAAAACTCCACCGACACACACTTTCTTGGCGATATTCATGGACAAAGCCTATCAGAGTTTTATTTGCGGATTATTCTGTCTAACGATGGCGTTAATCATTAACTGAGAATCGAGCTCGTTCTAGCAACAATGGCAATAGGTAAGAGCGACATTGAGATCCGCAGGCGTATTGGGATAGCTAGGGACATATTCCAAAAGCGAGGCAGAGTACTGCGAGACAGGAGGATATCTTTTTATCTAAAATCATACTGGACAGGGATATCTTTGGCAATTATTGAACTGTTATCTTTGGCAAAAAGAAAAGCATACTGAACTGTTACGGACTGGAGGATATCTTTGGCAATAAAGAAAAGCATACTGAACTGTTACGGATTGAAGAATATCTTTGGCAATAAAGAAAAGCATACTGAACTGTTACGGATTGGAGGATATCTTTGGCAATAAAGAAAAGCATACTGAACTGTTACGGATTGAAGAATATCTTTGGCAATAAAGAAAAAGCATACTGAAGTGTTACGGACTGGAGGATATCTTTGGCAATAAAGAAAATATTGAACTGTTACTGAAAAGCATACTGAACTGTTACGGACAGGAGGATATCTTTGGCAATAAAGAAAAGCATACTGAACTGTTACGGACTGGAGGATATCTTTGGCAATAAAGAAAAGCATACTGAACTGTTACGGACTTTGGAATAAAGGATATCTTTGGCAATAAAGAAAAGCATACTGAACTGTTAACAGGAGGATATCTTTGGAATAAAGAAAAGCATACTGAACTGTTACGGACTGGATATCTTTGGCAATAAAGAAAAGCATACTGAACTGTTACGGATTGAAGAATATCTTTGGCAATAAAGAAAAGCATACTGAAGTGTTACGGACTGGAGGATATCTTTGGCAATAAAGAAAAGCATACTGAACTGTTACGGACAGGAGGATATCTTTGGCAATAAAGAAAAGCATACTGAACTGTTACGGACTGGAGGATATCTTTGGCAATAAAGAAAAGCATACTGAACTGTTACGGACTGGAGGATATCTTTGGAATAAAGAAAAGCATACTGAACTGAGGGATTGAAGAATATCTTTGGCAATAAAGAAAAGCATACTGAACTGTTACGGAACTGTTACGGACTGGAGGATATCTTTGGCAATAAAGAAAAGAAAACTGTTACGGATAGGATATCTTTGGCAATAAAGAAAAGCATACTGAACTGTTACGGATTGAAGAATATCTTTGGCAATAAAGAAAAGCATACTGAACTGTTACGGACTGGAGGATATCTTTGGCAATAAAGAAAAGCATACTGAACTGTTACGGACTGGAGGATATCTTTGGCAATAAAGAAAAGCATACTGAACTGTTACGGATTGAAGAATATCTTTGGCAATAAAGAAAAGCATACTGAACTGTTACGGACTGGAGGATATCTTTGGCAATAAAGAAAAGCATACTGAAGTGTTACGGACTGGAGGATATCTTTGGCAATAAAGAAAAGCATACTGAACTGTTACGGATTGGAATATCTTTGGCAATAAAGAAAAGCATACTGAACTGTTATCATCTTTTGGCAATAAAGAAAAGCATACTGAACTGTTAACTGGAGGATATCTTTGGCAATAAAGAAAAAGCTAAACTGTTACGGATTGAAGAATATCTTTGTAAAGAAAAGCATACTGAACTGTTACGGACTCTTTGGCAATTTGAAGTGTTACGTGACATCTGAGCTCCTTTACGTCAGAGAATGTTGGACAATTTCCTCAAAGATGAAGAAACGACTCGAGATGACAGAGATGTGGTTCTACAGAAAGGTGCTATGGATATCATGGACCGAGCGTGTGAGCAATGTTGAGGTCTTAGAGAAGTTGCAATCAAGGAGGAGGCATATACTTAACATCAGGAAGAGGCAGCTGACGTTTCTAGGACACATAATGAGGAAAGAGGGCCTGGAGAATCTGATACTCACAGGTCGAATAGAGGGAAAGAGAGACAAGGGAAAACGACGCGTAATATACATGGCGGACTGAAGCAAGTGGATGGCAGAACATATTCAGGGGGAGGAAGCAGAGGTAAGAAACATGTTGAGAGCTGCAAAGGATAGAGGATGGTTTAGGGCCATGATCGCCTACATCCTGAAAGGACATGGTACATAAACAGAAAAAGAAAGATAATCTTGTTCCCAAGCCAGTTGCTTTTAACACTGGTCTCATCTGTATTTACAGCTAAGTCAAGTACAAGGCTTCATATATGGAGCGCCAAGCGGATCGAAACTCTTATAGTAATAATGGCACACGAGACAATGACTTCATGGTCAAGGCGCCATTTCATTTTCTCTTTTTCACGCTTATGTAAGCTGTTCATTCTTTACGCTTCTATTCGTTTTTTTACCAATATTTTTCAACACTTTTTTCTCATTCAATCTTCAGTGCAACTTCTTTTTTCTAGCATTAATTTCCCTAATTTAATTCTATTTCGATAAAAAAAGAAAGTTTCCGCTTCAACTATGCCGGTTTTTAGAACTCTCCTCAAATTGAAGACAGTTTTTTCTCATTTTGTTTTTCTTTGCTATTTTTGCATTTAAAATTATGAGTGCATCTTACTCTTTCATTCTTTTATATCTATTCTTCTTTCTTTCAATCGTCCCTGACTCCCATCTTTCTTTCTCTACTTGCTTCCTTCCCAACTTCCTCTTTTCTTTCCTTCTTTATTACCTTTCTTGGTTCCATTCTTTCTCACTTCCTTCCTTATTACCTTTGTAACTTACTACCTTCTTTCCTTTCTACTTTTCTTTCTTTCTATCTGTCTTTGTTTCACTAGCTTCCATATTACGTACTTCCTTATTTCCTTTCTAAAATTCTACCATCCTTCCTCCTTTCTTACTTCCTTCCTTCCTACATTTCATTCAATCATTCTTTCTTTCTTTCTTTCTTTCTTTCTTATTTCGAGCTTTCCATTCCTCCCTTCCTTTCTTTTCCTACCTTATTTTCTTCCTTACATCTATTCCTCCCTTCCTTCCTTCCTTCTTTACTTCCTTCCTCCCCCTTCCTTCCTTCCTTCCTTCCTTCCTTCCTTCCTTCCTTCCTTCCTTCCTTCCTTCCTTCCTTCCTACTATTGTTTCTATCTTTTTTTCTTTTCTATCTTCCTTATTAGTTACCTCCTTCCTTCCTTCCTAAATTTCTACCATCCTCCCCCCTTCCTTCCTACATTTCATTCAATCATTCTTTCTTTCTTTCTTTCTTTCTTTCTTTCTTTTCTTCTTTCCTTCCTTTCTGTTTTTTTCTGTCGTTCTTTTTTTCCTTTCTTATTAATTAGTTCCCTAATTCCTTCCTAAATTTCTGCCAATCTTTCACTTTCCTTCCTTCCTTCCTTCCTTCCTTCCTTCCTTCCTTCCTTCCTTCCTTCCTTCCTTTCATTCTTTCTTTCTTATTTCGCTCCTTTCTTTCTTACCCCCCTCCATTCTTCTCCTTCCTTTTTTCCGTCTTTCTTTTCTTCATTCCATCTATTCCCTCCTTTCTTTCTTCCTCTCTACCTTCTTTCTTTTCCATCTTTCTTTTCCTTTCCTTCTTTTCTACATACCTTCCTTTGTCTCATTCTTTTCTTCCTTCCTTATTTCATTCCTTCCTTCCTTCCTTCCTTCCTTCCTTCCTTCCTTCCTTCATTTCCTTTCTTCCTTCTTTTGCTTACTATCTTTCATCCTTCCTTTTTCGTTTTTAAATTTAATTCATTTTACAATATTTCATCGTTCTGTTGAAGCGTCCTTTCTATTTTCCTTATTATATTTTTAAAAAATCATTCCCAGTAATCAAAACCTAAGCCATTTTTGAAAAACAAAACAAAACAAAAAAAACAAAAAAACAAAAAACAATATATATACTTTCTTCCTCACTCTGTCTTAAAGAATGTAACAAAACTCTTTTTCTCTCCATCAATATTCTCCTACATCAAACCTCTTTTCCAATGCCCGCGTTTCTGTCTTAATTCATTGTGCTTTGCTTGCCTCTGTCCTTGCTTACTTTTTGGTTTCGTTTCCCAACACCACAGCCGTTCCGTCCTTTCAATGAATCAATATTCAGCGAAAGATACTGAGCATTCTCTGTACACTAAATATTATAATTTTCATTAACAAAATTGCACAAGAACCCATGCACTATTTTCGCCTTTCTTTTTCTTTTCATTTTCTTTTTGTTCGACTTCCTCCCCTTCGTTTCCCCAACTTTATGTGTTTATTTATTGTTAGGTTCATCCACGCCTTTCCTACTTTCTTCATTCTCTCTCGTTCGCCCAGCGCCATCATGCGCATTATATTTTCGCTTTATTTTCACAGACTACACTTTTGCCTCCTTTGCTTAGCCCACTGTGTCTCGTTCCTCCATTTTGTCTCTCCTTTCTCTCTCCATTCTTTAATTCCATCTGTCTTCCTTCCTTCCTTCCTCCTTCACTCGTTTATCTCTCCATTTTGTCAGCTGTAAACTACAGTAAGGACTAACATTGGTTCAGCTTGAATAACGACTGTTATTGATTTGGGCAGTAAAATCGCTCGTTATTGTTACAAGGCGGGAGAGGTACTCCGGTATTTTCCGGTACATTCCGGCAAACTTCGACTCCACTTTCCAATCTTTTCTTTTTTTTTTTTTAACGTATCGTTCTACCCTATTTTTTTTCTTTTGTATCTCAGCCAATCAATTCTTGTTTTTATGATTTTTCGATATTCTTTTCTTTTACTATGATTCAACTATCTTATCTTTCTTCTTCTTAGACAATGACAGCATTTAATGTACTCTAAAATTCGTGTATCTGCACATACCAGCCTTCTGTTTATCCTCCTGCTTTTCAGTGCATTTCCACTGCAACCATTATGCGTGACTTTCTACTCCACTCTAATATTAAGCAACACCCTCTCCAGTTCAGCCATTACGTGCTATTCTACAGACATTGTACACATACGCATGAATATAGAGAGAGGGGGGGGGTCAGGAAAATATTTAAGAATAAATGTCTGCGCCTGCGTATGAAGTCGATTATATACTGGAAAATATGCTTGTTCGTTAGGTTAAATAAGTGCGTATTTTTCCTTTGTGATAACGATCAGGATCGAGTTGTGTTAAGCAGCTAACATTTGTGATACTGATTTTAAAGGAAGTGAACTAGACCTGTGTGAAGTATGGCGAAACACGATCTTCCTGTAACCAATTTCAACCACATTTCAGTTAAGATTAGTAAATAAAGCCCTCTCCACAATAATGGTTAATACGCCAACTGTTGCTAATAGATACGATTATATTCATACCAATTTTTCTCTTTCAAGTCAAAGAATATAAGCATGAATATCCGTGGGGCTGCCTACAGGGGCGTGATGATTAGAATGATGGTCTAACAGGCCAATAGGAATGGGTTCGATTCCTTCTTGTTGTCCCTGCGTTTCGGGATTCATATCATAGCACATGCATCTCTCTGTATATGCATCTTTTCCCTCTATATAAAACTAATCTTCAGTATATTTAGAAGGAAATAACGCAAAACAACTCTCTGGTGCGTACAAAAATAAATAAACACTCCATTAACTTATACTATCGTAAACAAACGAACGCTTATAAACAGGACGAAAAAGCAATTAAAAATATAATTCGCCGATGCAGATCACTCAATGATCCTAAGAAACACACAAGTTCAGAAAATCTAATCAACAACCCGGCACCTCAATAACCCCTCCCGTAGAAAAAAAAACAATGTCTATTAATTTTCATGCCCTCTGGGAGATTGCATCTCCAATATTACTAAATAAAAACGAAAAAGAAAAAGGAAAAAAGTATTAAATTCTTAATCCGGCTCACATGTACCACACTCTCTCGCAGATTAACTTGTCACCTGTCGAAACAGAGCACATATAGACAAGCACATGACAAACAACCAGAATACGATTATCAAAATACAAAAAATTATAGTGGATAATGCAAACATATTCTAGAGCACCCAATGCACGGGAAAATCATCATACTAGAAGTTATTATGAAAAAGAAAACAAACAAAAAAACAAAAACAAAAAAAAACGAAGAAAAACAGCCTATATTAAATGATGGTATGCATTATATATAATATATTATATATATGCACATCAAGTTACCGTCTCACAGGAGACGGTATCTTGAAGTTCATATATATTTAATGTGGCATATATATATATATATATATATATATATATATATATATATATATAGATAGATAGATAGATAGATAGATAGATAAAGAGAGAGAGAGAGAGAGAGAAAGAAAGAAAGAGATGGCTGGAGAGTATAATTAAGCGAAAGGTTTTATGAAATTAAGAGAATATTAGTTAATTTTGTAAAAGTTCTTAATTCGAGAATCAGTAAAAAAAAGATTGTTTGAAAAAAATCTTTCAAGAAGAATATAACGATATATATATATATATATATATATATATATATATATATATATATATATATATATATATAGGTGGTATGTACCTGTATGTCTGTTCTATTTTTCTAATTTTCGAATATATTTGTTTTACAATATTGATCTCTCTCTCTCTCTCTCTCTCTCTCTCTCTCACACACACACACGAGCGTATCGTCTGAAAAGAACTTGGTTAGCAAATTAAAGTTTTAATTAATTTATACTTTGTAAACCAGATGCTTCTCAATAGGTAAAGGGTATAGCACGGTCGATCAAATGATGGTTCCGTATGAGACACAGTTTCGATTCCTGTTGGAGAACCTATATCTTCTACGAAATTTCTCGAACATTTAGGACGGTAAATGTAATTAATCCTACTATATATATATATATATATATATATATATATATATATATATATATATATATATATATATATATATATATATAGGTAACTACACTCGTCTCGAAAAAACCTTCGGTGTCTTGATTTGCTAATGCTCAAATTAATTTCCAAGGAAAAAAAAAAAAAAGGTTTTAAAAAAGAAAGAGCTATGAACATGAACGTCTGTCGAAAATAATCGTACAGCATACAGGTCCAAATCCTAAAGAAAAAACCCCGATATATATATATATATATATATATATATATATATTATTTGATTAATTTCATGGAAATATTCTGGAGTGCGCGTGCGCGCACACACACACACACACACACACACACACATATATATATATATATAATCGGGAACATCAAAAAGGACAGACATAGATGTGCTGGACCTGTCTCTCGTCTCGGAGACAACAGGTTCACTATTAGACCGACATATTGACCACCAATGCAGTAGAAAAAAAAACTAGATGTCAGAAAAAGCAAGATGACGCGATGATCTGACATCATAACTCGCCCCCGAGCCAGTGATAAGAAGTCTTGGAGGTCACCTGCAATGAGAAACCTCTTAATTTTGAAATTCGACTCACATCGAGCCATCATCAGAGTGGTTATATGGACACTGCAACGCTTGAAATGACTATTGATCTATTGATATAACAAAATATTCTTTATTTAGTTATTCATTGTCTGTTCTACCTGGATTCTATCCTCTTAGGAATTTATATATATATATATATATGTTTCATTAAAAACGAAAGACCAGGTACTATGGTTAAGCTTTTTTATTTAATTTTTCCTGTTCTGACAAGAGCTTTCTTTTCTGGACAAAGGGTGTGTAATAACTGTCCGAATGTTTTATATTTCCGAGCGCTTTCGGCTATACCTTTAGCCATTATCAAGGATGATTCGATTTTTCACCTTAATTGAGTGTGTGCGTTCTGTGTATGTCTTAGTGTGTGGTAGGGATGTTTTTAATTTCCGAATACGGTTAGCACATTGTGGATTTGTTCGTAGTTAATTTTGTTAAGAGTTGGCTTTTTCTTTTTTATTATTAAAGCTTCCATTATTTTTAATCTTTTTTTTTTGCAGGTGGATGCAGTTAATATATTTGTGTTTTCTACTAGTATATTTCTAATGGAGTCTTGTAAATTTGTGTGTGCGTTTAAATGGGTTCTTATGGAGCTGTGATCAGATAGGTGTAACGTAAGATGTCTGGATAAGCATGTAGTTGAGTAACCGATGTAATTATCCGGTTTGATCAGGAACAGTTTCTTAAGGAGCATATATATATATATATATATATATATATATATATATATATGATCGAGTGTTAAATACCGACCTTTTTGAAAAATGCAAGATAGGTGCCATTCGACTGCATGAAACGCGAAAGCGAAATGAAACAGCTTACAGTGTTCCTGCTGCACATGCATACAATACTTTCTCCCGTGCTGTGTGTGGTCTTTTGTGCAATTCTCGAGGCAGCCTCAAAAGTCATGCGCGTCAGAGGCATGCAGATAATTAGTAGGTGTCATCGGAACCACATATGTCGAACTCGACGGGAGGGTCCATCTTATACAAGGCTTGTCTGTCCAACATTTTATTATTTTTTTACACCTTCTGACTAAGTTGTTTAATGTCAGAATTAAAATTGGTAAATGTTTTTAACGTTCATTTTTTTTAATCCGATTACTTTCGACATTTCCTGCAGTCGCTATCAAGAATTGCCTGTTTAGTCTCTTTATGAAACTGTGCTTATCTAATTCCAGCGTTCCCCAATTTCCTGGGACGAATTTCAAGTCACTTAAAGGTGCCGTCATTTAAAACTGTCAAATATTTTTATACACACCTTAATAAACGATCTCCGTATTTAATGTTAGCTGCTTCATTTATATTAGAATGG